TTTCTTATACACGATTTAATAAAAGTATACTGAAAAAAGAAACTGACTCAAATTTTATAAAATTATTAAACGTAAAAAAATTAAAAATTGCCTTTTTATAGTTTTCTTGATCTCTCCTTTCTCCCTTATTTAAACTGTAACTTCTGTTTTTCTATAAATAGCTCTACCTCTGTCAAAAGTAATGAACTTGAATAACAATGTTTATTTTTGATAAGAATGAAATTATAAATAAACTAATTTATTACAATACTTTATTATTTATTAATATACTTCCTTTTAGTTTTTAATTATTTTTAAGATCTTTATTAGAATATTCTATTTTTAAATTATTATTTTTTGTTATTGGTATTTTTGTTATTTATTTTAAAATAAGATTAGATAAATTTATTTTTATCCATTATTATATGAGATTAAATAGAATATAGATGAAAAGAGAGTCAAGTAAATGAAAAGATAGCAAAAAATACAAATAATTTTAGTTGCTATTATACTTATAAAATGAACGAGATATTAAATTATGATATTTCATATTAATTAGATATCATTAGTAGTGATAATATCATTAACTCATTTATTAAAATAACTGAACAATAACTCATGTAATAAATAACATGAAATCTATCATAAATAAACAGTAGAATTAACTCATTTATCATTATTCGAGAATGTTTGTTATTGAAAGAAAAAAACAGACTACATAGGATAAAAATAAATGAAACAAAATGTAGTACTATCCTTAGACTTACTAGATGATATTTAGACTACAAATTTTCAAGAACAATTCGTTAATAAAAATTTCAACTTTTATTATTGATATTTAGAAAGTACTGACAAAGAATTGATTAATATTTAAAAAAGTATAATCTATTCGATAAAATGTAGTCAGATAATTGGAAGTTAAGGAAATTCATTGATTGTTTCTTTATTGTTTATGAAACTAAGTTAAGTCATTTACTAATTAAAAAAAAAAATAAATAAATACTAACATTTATATAAAAGTCCATAAAAAGAGTGTAATGTGACTTGTATATGTTTATTAATTATTTATAATATAATTATAATATTTTTAAATTAGATATTCTCATCATTCCAACTATATTATTAAAAAAAAAATAAATAATATTCATATGAATGAAAATAATATGTGATTGGGTTTTATGGTGATATTAAATAATTAACTAATAGTAATTTATATACACTTCTTACATAATACAATAATTTATTTAATAGTTTTCTGTTTATATAAATTTTAATACATTTGTTCATTTCATTCATCTCATAAGTGTAATACATAATTTATCCTTTGGTTTTATCAATCAATTAGATAATTAAATCAATGATAAATTATGAATTGTGATTTTATCAAACTAATTGAGATGAATAAAACTAATTCAATATGTTAAACTGATATTGAAATAATGAATGATATTTTAATAGAAGAAGTAAAAGAAAAACATTGTAAAGAATGAAATGTGAGTTATTTAATAAATTAATAAATAACTGATAGTGTGCTTAAATTCATGTGTTAAAAATAATGTAAGATATAAATTTAAAAATATAAATAAAGTAGAATTAGTATTGAATTTTGTTTATTCTAATAATTTCACAACAACCAAAAGCAAAAAAAAAATTTATATTAAATTAATCTGACAATTTGGGTGTAGTATTAAACCATAAAAAATAATGAAAATAAAACAAAATACATTATGTTTAGAACAAAAACAAAACAGAAATTAAATACAAACGATGACTTTTTAATTAAATAAATTTTTAAACATAAAATTGGATGAGTTAAATGATAAATAACAAGGTCAAATTTAATACAAAATCAATAAATTCATTACAAATTAAATAATAATGTAAATTAAACTAAAAAAAATTATAATAAAACCAAAAAATATAGAAGATTCAACAATAATTTATTGGTATTAAAATATGAATATAAATTTTATTATTATAGTCATTATTATTAAATGATTTTTTCAAGTGTAATTATTGTCAATATGAAAATAATTAGTTTTAAATAAAAAAAGGGATTATTCCACGAATATATTCTAGACAAATAAAAAAATATTTTAATGAAAAAAAAACTTCCAATCAATAAGGAGTACGAGGTGGTTCTTCTTTAAACCTCATAACACCAGGCGTTTTTGGTGGGGCTCTGGCTAATGACGGTGTCATTGGTGTTGCTGGATTTAGCATTGGAGTGTTATGATAATTAGGCATTGGAGTTTGGGTTGTATATTGTGAGTTCATAGCAGGAGTGGATGGTGGGTAGTTTGTAACTCTCATTGGTTGTTGACCTGGAGTTGCCATATGAGAGATTTGTGGACGACAAGTACTTGAATCACATGTTCCAAAGGCTTCTTGTTCTAATTTAATAATTCTTTGGTTTGCAGATAACTCAATCATGAAGTCTTTACCCTTAATATTACGGATTGTTCCCTGGTATCCTTTATAAGGACCTTCTCTTACTATAACTTTCTTTCCTTTAAAATCTCTAAAGGAAATACGATTTACACTACTTGGATCTTCAAAATTATTTCTATCTTCTCTTCTATCTTCTCTGCGTTCATTTCTTCGTTCTGCTTTAGAAATAGATGATTGGTGTGAAGCATTAGGACCAACAATATCTTTATTTGTAACAACAATATATGAGTTATTTTCTAAAACACCAGGGCACTGAACAAATATCTTTGTAAATTGGTAGATGTGAAGAATTTTTGCTACTCTTCCAGAATAGACTCCACTAACAATATTAACAAGATCTCCCAATGAAACATAATTTCTATTTCTGTCCCTACACCTTGCGTCCCTTCTTTCTTGAAATTTACCTTGAATAACTGATGGGTCAACTTCTTGTGTTTTGTTATTATCATTTAATACTAATAGTCGATTGTTCTGTGGCAAGATTTCTAATATTAATCCTACTCCTTCAGATAATTGAACAAAGTCATTAACATAATATCCATTTAAGACTGTAATTTCTTGATTAATTTCTTCAGTATTTTCTAAATCAATTTGACTTACACAAATACTAGCTTTCTTTTTATCTGTAAAAACAAATACCTCATCCCCTTTAATAGCTTCAATAATACCTGTTTCATTTGCATACATT